TGCTGCCTTTATTAACACCGTAATTAAATCGTTCCCCCAGATTTACGTTTTTAAATGAATCCACCAGGCAGAATCCACCGAGATTTTAGTATTCTATCCATGCACACGGTCTTCGATAAGTTATCTCCCCTGCTAAAAAAACCTTTGTCCGTAGTTTTCTCCCTTACATTATCTATTGTCTCCCTTACATAAAAGGTGTGTAAAAAAAGTTAGCAGAATTTTCTTTGAAAAATCAAACTTTATTTATCAAAAAATTCAAAATTCCTTTAGAAATGTTGTACTAAGCTTTACCATTTATGACAAGTAAATAAAGTCTTTACTTAATAACGATATCACCTAAAAAGGGAAAATAATACCAGCATTTAAAAGATTTAAATTATATAAATTATACTAATTAAAATTTTAAAAAATTGAAAATAATTCTTGTAAAAATTCATTATTCATCGAATAAAAATTTCTTAAGTCAATAGTGTCCATAATATATGTTATTCATAAAAGCAATTAAAACCTTTTCTAATTAAATAATGTCTTAGTTTTATTGCATTTTTCTTTTGCGATTTAGAGCAGATTTTCGGTAACTTGGTGTACTGTTTTACAAAAAGAAATTAATGATTTAAATTCTTCAAAGAGTTCTGCTTTTAACTGATATAAGCATTAGGAGGGAAGAAATTTAATTTCTCGAAATTTCATAAAATTAAATAAATGGAGAGGAGTAACAGATCTAAAACAAATTTCTAAGATTAAAAAAAAATCATTTCTAAATTAATTTCATTCATTTGTGAATAAGTCCTGAAAGTTTCATTAAAATCCGTTATTTGATTAATGCAAGAATTTCCAAATCAATGAGTTTTTAGCCGAAAAAAAAAAAAAAAGGCTAAAATTTCTTATTTGTGGTCTCCGTGCTGACACACGCTGAATAACAAGATTTTAAACAAAATTTTAAACGTTCGAAAAGCGAATAAAAAATATAATTTAATTATCAAAGAAAGTTTTGGGGCTTTTTACATCATGGTATGCTAATTCTATAGCGAATCAGTGGAGTTACCATAGGTTTTATTGCTTGTGACCATAGGTAACTCCATGAAAATCAATAAAAAGAGCATAGCAAGACAAGAACGGCCTTAAATTTGATGAAAAAAAATATCTGCTTAAGTATATATATTATTAAGAAAAAAATACTAAAGTAGTTTTTGATTATTTTTTATAATTTTTTACTCATTCTTAGCGTGTACAAAATTTTAATTAAAAATCATGTTTTTTTTGTCAGCGAAATTACTAAAAAAAAACTCGATATCAGTCATTTTTTAAAATTTTGTACAGTAAACTAAGTTAAAATCCTAGTTTAAAATTCGTCCAAAAATCAATTATACGTTTTTCAAAATTTATTTGACGAAAATTAGCAAATTTAAAAATTATTTTTGAAAAAAAACTTTTGCTTACTTTCTTCGAAGAATAATGTTGTTTAAAATAAAAAGGAGGCGATCTTAACATCGTTTGCTATTGACTAGTGATGAATGATTGCTGTCATCCCATATCGACAGCTAACGTGAGATTGGCGTTATCATACGGAAGGACATAATTGACATAACGTTTTTTTTTTTTACATGAACCAGCTTATGTAGTACTTCGTAATTATTAAAGTAAAAAAAAAAACTTCTAACATTCCAATTTTTTTAATTTTTTTTTATTACTGTAGCTTACACCATAAGTTTGTTGATACTTTCTGTAGAAATTATAAATACTATAAATAAATTAAAATAAAAGTGCTGCATAGCTTATTGAGGGCAACTATAGCCCCCTAAAGTCAATACAGATTTGCTATGATAAAACATTTCTATCCCAAGTAAAAAATCATCACAAACATATCAAAAGTTATTTTGTTACACTACAGCCAATTTGATCTGAAAAAAAAAAATTGAAAAAATGACTTCTGTCATCATCTGAACAAAATATCAAGGAAACTTTTGATCTGCACCCCATAAAATTAGGTATTTCCTGAAGTAAAGGATGCTCTTTCATTTCTAAGTGAAATTGGTTGGTGTAAATGATTATAAAAAAAATTTCTGAAAAAATAATTAAAATTGCTATTCTAGAACACTGGAATTTTTTATATTTTTTTTTTTTTTTTTTAAATCAGCGATAAGGAAACAGTGTTGAAATTAAGCCAAAATTGACTTTGACATTGCTGGGTCAAAGGCCAGGCAGCCGACAATATCAAGCTGTCATCACCTTGTAAAAAATCCCATTTTTTTCTTTTAAATGTATGTTTGAACAATGGCTTGATGTATTTTTGTTTTTAACACCTTTTGTGCGGGGTGATGACAACAGCACTTAAGGATAGAACCGAAAACAGTTTGTTTGAAATAAGAAATTCACATAAAATTGAAATAAATCACCGAAAACTGAAAAGTGAAAACTGTAAAACAAGTTAAAAAAATTGAAACTGCAATGAAATATGTAAATGAAATAAATGGTACTTTTAAAAATGTAGTAATGTTGATGGTGAAAATGGCTTAGGATGATGTTTAAATTTTTTTAATGAGTAAAAAACGCTAATTCAAAATGCTCAGTATGTATTTCGCACGAAGAATTTGCAACAATGTAATCGACGTTCAGCGGAGAACGCTTACCACGTGACGTTTTATTGCTTGTGACTTTCCGTACTTTTTAATTGCAGCTATTTTAACGATTTTTATGAACACAAAATTACATTTCTTAATTACTGAAAATATTCTGATTAAAACGATACAATTTACAACGCGCTATAAAAAATCTATCTCATAAGGACACTTAGGAAACGTAATGCGGCTTTTAACTAATTTTATATTTTAACAACTTAAATGTAAAAATCTATTATAATTAAAGAAATAAAAATAAATGTATTAAAAATTCATTTTTCATCTAAAAAAGTTTTTGATTTCAGAAAATATTGTCCATATTCATAAAAACAACTAAAAGCAAATAAAAGCATTTGAAATTAAATAATATATTTGATTTATTGAGTTTTGTATGTTACAATTCAGAGCTGATTTTAAGGTAGGGGGGTCCAATTAAAAACAAAAAAAAATGATTTGCATTCCTCAAGCCGTAAGCTTTTAACTATTGTAATCATTAAACTAGACTTGATCGAATTTCTAGCTTTTTCATAAAATTAGTTATGGGGGGCGGTTAATAAATATAAAAAATATTTCTGCCATGACTTTAATAAAAAAAAACTTATTTATAATAATTTCGATCATCTGTGAAGAGTTTCTGAAAGTTTCATTAACATCCGACATTTATTTTTATTTTTGGAAGATTTTCCAAATTAATGTGTGTCATACAAAAAAAAAAAAATGTGGCCAAATCGGTTAAAGGCACGTCAGGCTATATATCGGCGGACGAATATTTTCAATGAAAATTTCTCGGACATTCAGGACGGTAAATGTTGTTTAATACTGTTTATTATAAAAAAAGGAGCATTTATTTAAATATTTGTATCTCTAAAAAGAATGTATAAACATAAAAATGTCTTTATATATATATATATATATATATATATATATATATATATATATATATATATATATATATATATATATATATATATATAGTTTTGTGCATGCCGTAGTATATAAAGTCTCTCTTAGAACAAAGCATGTTTTTTTTTTTCCTTTCAGCCATTCCGTTCCGTCATTTTTTTCCGTGAACTACGGTGTTGTTGTATCACGGATATAACAATGCCCACAACGAGAGAAATGTAATTGGGAGTATAAATATTTAATTCCCTCGATCTCGTCACAGCGTCATTTCCCTTTGGAAATATATCTTCACCAGATATAGATACTATTTCCGGCTCGAAAAAACACCATAATTCGCTGTTTGCTTATTTGGGAGGAATATATCCTCGCTATGATGACTTTATGGAGAAAAGAGTATTTTTAATTTTGTTTTTACATTTAAAAACAAATCATGTTAAATGAATGTAGCAGGAGGCTAAATATTGAAGTAAAATAGGAATAAGGAAAGCAAAAATGTTATCGAACAATTTTAGACATTTAAAGAAACACATTTATAATTTTTACAATGCTTCTCACCATGCACAAGGCCCAAGAGCCACTCGATGTAAAGTGTTACGTTGTAAAATGCATTGTTTATCAGGATGTATGGGGAAGATAACTGTTAACCCATTACTTGAACCGATTGTAGTGATCGGGGAAGAATCCTCTTGGGAGTTGGTTCCACAAAGCAGTGGTTCGCGGGAAGAAACTGCTCGAATGGAGCTTAATCTCACCTTTCGAAGGGAATGAGGGTGGTTCACTGCAATATGCTTGGAATGGTAGGTCCTAACCATGAAGATATAATTTAAAGCCCTGTTCAGATATAAATGTAATCTTCTTTTATTTTTTAACGTTCGTTTTTTCAGTCAAATTAACTATTTGACAAAGTAAGGATTCGATTTAACGCTTTCAGTGAATCCAGTTTTCAGGCAAACGACATTCGCAATTATGATTGCGTATCTTGGGAGAAATGCTTAGTTATGTCGTGCCTCTTCCATTTTCTTCACAAACTGGATGTTAACCGCATGACGTCTTACGTCAGACTGCATAAATATATTTTTTGCACATCGGCTCTACGCAGACATTCGCTTTAACCAATACAAAACAATATAATAATATATTATGACCAGTCAGAGCTACTCCTGCTCAAAAACCAAAACTTTATTTTAGAAACGACTAAAAACTATATATACCCAAATTCAAACAGACCCGAAACAGACCAGCGTTTGGTGTCATTAGCGACAAGCTGAGAAAGAGATGCGACCGACTAGCATTTGATGTCAACCCCGACACGCTGAGAGAGACACCACAAGCGTGCGACTTAGCATCTGAGTAACTGCCGCCATCTATTAAATATCTATATTACCTTATTCCGCTTTTGAGAACTTTTCTGATGCTCTTGCAATATGCAAGTTTGCTTTTTTTTCATCTAGAAACTAGTTAGAAATCTATCTCACCTCTTTCTCATATGATCACTGAAGTTAAGCAACGTTGAGCCTGGTCAGTACCTAGATTGGTGACCGCTTGGGAATATCAAGTGCCGTAGGCCTGGATGTGCAGGTGATGCAATGGATAATGACCCGGAATTTTTAATCGGAGAGCCGAATTCCAATTCCCCGCTGTTTTCGTTATAATCACTTATGCGCAGATGCATTAGGAAAATTATGAATCCACCACTTCTTCCCCGACCTAGGGGTTACTTCGAAAACTTGTATCACTAAAACCCGCCCTCACATATAAAAATAAATAAATGAAATAAAATTCCACTTACAATATTTCGATTTCGGCATTAAATAACGCGTAGAGATTGATATGCCACTAAGCAAAATCAAACAAATGTCTCTGCTCTATTATGAAATAAGCTTTCGAACTTAGAAAAGATTTAAAAAAAAAAAAAGAAGGCTAAAAGAGGAAACAGATTTATAATTAAATACAGTTACTGTTTTGACAGAATGAGGTTTGGTTTCAGTTCACTGAGCTCTTTTGGAGAGAATTGCCTCGGTATTAAAATATTTACTTGATATTAATTTCTACTGGCACTTCTTTCTACTTAGTGGATGCAACAAAATTACTGGTCGACTTCATTTCCCAGAATAATTCAATTCTGTTCCAAAACGGCATTCGAACGCGCCAATTGCTCAATTTAAGATTCCACAGTCAAAGTTTATCCAATTTCCAGTAATGGATAATAAATACATCCTCTTGAATGAGGAGGAATTTTTAACCGATCGATTCCGCTTAGGCTTGTGACATTAAGTTCTGTTTTTGGATTTAATTATAATTTTTTTATTATTATTATTCCCGAAAAGAATTTACTTCACTTTGCGAGTGGCTATATAAAAGTAACGTACCCGCAAGAGTATAAGGAAACCATTAATAGATTATGAATTTTTTAAAGGCATATCATACGACGCAATACAGATGATTGATTGCTCAAGCAATGAAGAGCAATAAATAATTTCTCAGATTTCCCTAACATTGCAGAAAATAAGATTCTGTGAACATTTTCACCAATCTAATAGTCTTGAAAAATTATGAGATTAGTTGGCCATTAAGTTTAATGGAAAATTATCCGGTAACGATCAATGTATTGATTATTAATCAGATTAAAACCTAATTAATCACTTAATTAATCAGATTAAAACCTAATTAATCACTTGCTAACGGACTAAATTAACGCAAAGGATGATGTGATCTTAAAATTTCCTAAGCGGCACATAACATATGAAATGTTCTCTTGGTGGTGTTACGCCGTTACCAATAAATATGCATCGTTGTAATATAAAGGAAAAATATGTGTATATACTAAGATTAACTTCGTCTAGTAGTATCCAAACAGTAACTATATTTATTTATAAATCTATTTCTCTTTATTATTCTATCACTTTTTGATCTGGTTTCGTGAATAAGAATTTAAAAGAGGACGCCATGTTTTTAGCAAGGCCACCGGCAGCTGTAATAGCTCAATCGACGAGTCATCTCACGACAGCTGACAATCGGAGTGGGTCCGTGTTTCATAGCGTTTATTCTTCCGGACCTCCCACCCCCAAGTCACGTGCAATGTAACATTTTAAAGTAGTTTGCGGTTACACCTGACACTTATGAAACGAAGTTTTTACATCAATGGGACGATGTTAGGAAGGTCCCTAGGTTGTAACTTTCCCCTTTTCCGCGGATGAGCGGGCTAACCATCTCTTAGAAGTGCAACCTATAATAAGGTTGGTTGAAGAAGATTGAACGTTCTTTTTTATACTAAACTTCACCCAATAAAATTCTCTAGCAAGGCCGGCGCGTCTTACCCACGAAACCCCCGACGGTGGGGGTAGGTGCTTTTTTTTTACCCTATTGTAGCGTCTGCCATTTTTTTTTTCAGCACTGTTTTATCGCCATCTCCTGTTTATCTGCAAGGCCGGTGCGGTGCATACCCCCCCCCACCACCACCACCAACGAGGCTGAAGCCTTAAAAGTCTAGTTTCAGCAGCGTCTTTTTGATTTTTGTACTTTTTACTTTTTTTCTACCTAAGTTATATTGTCTGTCATCAACTATAATAATCGGCAGAGCCGGTGCTTACTAAGCCGATCTTCTCAACAGCGTGGGGGCCCCATGCCTACTGGGGGTGGGGGCAGAATTGTTAAATTCAGTAGGGCTTATTTTTTAAAATTGTAAAATAGTTCTTTTAAATCAGTTAAATAGGGTAATATATCTCGGTAAAATCATTTTTTATTTCGAGACCATCCATTAAGGAGGTCCTCTGATTTATTTTACTAATAGCAATACTAACCAGAAATCCACGGTTAGTAATTAAAATAAAAAAATTTAGTCCCTATTTTTTTACATTTCTATAAAGACAAACCGAAAAATGATCGTTTAAAAAATAAAAATGTTTAAAGATTTCAACGCATGAAAAATTTTCCCGAAAACTCAAATACTGTTTTAAACAAATTTTTAAGACAATCCTGTTTGTGTTGTGTTGTAATCTTTGTAAAACATTTTTTCGGCGGAGATGCGTCGGCGATTAATCCTTATGGAAATGTAAAAAATCGCGACTTAAACATTTTTTTCGAGTAAAATTTACTCATGAAAATATTGGTTGTTAAGAATAACATTTTTTCCCGATTTTTAAAAAATAAAAAAACAACTATTTATTAGAAAAGTAAATAATTAATGAATATGTAGTGAAATTTTCATTTAAATTGTATAATTCTCTAATTTTTGGGAATTTAAAAAAAAATTGATCCCCTCCGTCACCTAATTTTCTTTCGAGTGTTTGTGATCCCCAAATTGGGAAACTTTGAAATCGATTTGTAGTAGAAAGGGAGCATATCAATATTTCTAGATGAGGGAGAGCCCAGCCTTGGGCTCTAGAACTGCTCAAGGTAGAGAGTTACTATTAAAATACTTATGATGAATGACATGAGATATGAGTGAAAAGAGTTGGTAGGAAGTAGAAACTTTGAGAATAAGGACGATAGATAAAGATTGTTCTTTGGCTTGAAGAAGTTAAAATTATAATGTTCGAGGAAGCCCCAACAAAAGAGTCTGTTTCATAAAGTAGCAAGGCTTGGGGAAAAACATGTCTGATTGGAACTTTATCTTTATATAATACGGATACGGAGGAAATTGTGGGTAGTTCGACTTGATGTGGGTGGATCGAGTCGGTGTAATTTAAGGTCTGAACTCTTTGGAACTGAAGAGCGGAGCTCATGTGAACTTTTGACAGGAAAATTGCGATAGGCTTGCGATATTATGTCTGTGGAAGGAAATGCTGCAGAGTAGAAAATGGGTTTTCTTACCCCCACAAGACCGCGTAGACTGTTTTGAGCCCTCTTAAGGCTGGAAAGTTTGAATAGCTCCAGCTCTGATATTTCAACAAATCTCCATTTTTAGTCTAATCTGACTTTCTGATTGCAGTCTTTCCACAAAACCATAGCTTATATAATAGGAAAGGGAAATGAAATGTTCGCAGCTCAACATAATTACCAATATCTGAGGAAATAATCTAACATAAAGATTTTTTTTAAGTTAATTTTTTTTGTCGGAAATAGATAATTATCCTATGTACAACCTTGTGCAAATTAATTGAAACAAAACGAACGATTCCGTTATTATTTACTTTTTTTTCATATTTTTCCAATAAAACAAGACCCAGTGCACATATTAGTAATTCGTATGCCCATTCCACGGAGTCGTTCTTTGCAGATTAACCACAGATTCTCGATTGGATTTAATGAGGAGTGTTTTCAGGCCAGTCTATATTACTTTGATTTGCTCACTAGTAAGGTTTGCCAGTGTGTTCCTGCAACGTTATAATTTTCGTACGCTTCCACGGAGTGGCCTCAATCGCAGACAATTGCCATAAGACAACTAATCGATTGTCGAAACAGTAGTGTCTAGGCGTGATGAAAATGTGATGCAATCACAGATGACGCACTATTTTTCAAGGCCAAACACATTTCATCATACACCCCGATAATAAATTTATGTTACTGCACACCACTGTAAATGATCTAATCTGAGGAAAAAGTAAAAATCGATTACACCCTGTCACACCAGTGGGTCTAAAACTGACTATATGGTGAAAGAAAGGAAACTAAAGTGGTTGTTTCAATTAATTTGCACAACGGTGTACTCTTGCATCTACCGATTTCATGTATAGTACAACTTCTGAATTTTTTTGTATGCATTCAACCCCACACACACAAAAAAGGTTTCTGTCTATAGTGTTCACCGAAAATGCATGATTCTTAAGCTCTTCCAAAATAATACCTGTATATAGTGCGTCCCGCTATTTTTTGCGTAAAAAACGGTTACAAAAATTCGCCTTAAACTCGAATATATACGGTAATTGCTTTGAGAACTTCCCAGAATCCATTTAGGTGAGGTTTTCAAGGTTTTAACCCCATATTTTCCTTTGGTCTTATAGGTAATCTTTGCAGACGAACGATAACATAACGTAGCGTAAACTCGGAAACAATGAATAACTAAGGTAAAGATTGTAGAGTATTCATCAGGAATGTTCGTTAGTCAGTCATCGTTAGGCCAACACATGATTTGTAGAGTGATTTCGACAGCTTTTTTTAAGTACATAATAACATTAAGTCTGGTTGTTTTGTTTTATGTCATATCAAAATCTTAGTGAGTCATTTAATGCCAACAAAATTTTTGAAATAGATTCATAACGATAAAAGTTTGAATAGCTCCAGCTCTGATATTTCAACAAATCTCCATTTTTAGTCTAATCTGACTTTCTGATTGCAGTCTTTCCACAAAACCATAGCTTATATAATAGGAAAGGGAAATGAAATGTTCGCAGAAAAAAAATGGTGTGTATGTATACATATATATTTGGACCATTTTTCAATTACTCATGTTTTTGAGTACAATCCAACTTCTTAAGTATGTATAGCTGTTTGTATTTTTTTTTAAGTATTGCTGATAATAATTTTTCTTTCAAAAATTATTGCTAGTAATAATTTTTTTATTACAAAGTATTTCTGGTATTAAAACCTATTTTTACACAAGTTTGGGTGTTAACTATTTTCCCATA